ATCTTCATCTTCATCTTCATATTCACCTTCGTCTTCATATTTATCTTTTCCTTTATCCTGATCTATATCTTCATTCTTTTCTCCATTTACGTATTTACCCCCACCATTGTTATTAGGTTAGGTAGTTAAATTTTCCTTCCTCTTTTTCTTTACATTGTTTCTTTAGTGATATCATGTCATGTGTTGAAATTGGGTGTGGTGAGTTAAGATGTGGTGAGAAAGTTGGGGTGTGGTGAGTTAAGGTGTGGTGAATTAAAGTGTGGTGGATTTAGGTGTGGTGAATTAAGGTGTGGTGAATTAAGGTGTGGGAAGTGAAGTAGTGGTGGATTTAGGTGTGGGGAGTTAAGGTGTGGTGAATAAATGTGTAGCGAACTCAGGTGGAGTAAGTTTTTAAGCGGAGGTGAGATGAGTTGAGGTGAGTTAAGTTAAGTTAAGGGGTTAAGTTAAGATAAGTTATCTTTATCCTTATCTTCATATTCATTTTCATCTGCTTCCTCGTCTTGGTCTTCATCTTCTTCTTCATCTTTATCCTTTCCTTTATCCTGATCTAAATATGTCCATTCTTTTCTTCGTTTACATATTCACCCCCACCATTGTTATTAGGTTTGGTATTTAAATTTTCCTTCCTCTTTGTCTTTATATTTAGGTTTTTTTTACTTTTATTTTAATTTCTGTATTTATCCCTTTCTTCTTCTCCATACTCAAAATTATCTCCATCCTTGTTTGAGGCTAATCTATTCATGTACATACATACATACATCTTATTCCTAAACTGCTGCTTAGCTCGTTTCTTTAATTCACTATCAATATTAAAGCATACATTTAGGAGGCATTTCCGCCCCAACCATGTACATGTATGGCATTGGTATTGGTGTGACTTTTGAATTGATTTTTTCGCTCTATTTTAAACTAATTTGAAATTTTAAAAATTGCCTGCACATCAGTCAAAATGCCTTTCTAATGATATATAATTGTTTATACCTTAGAAGTACAGTTTAGCCGTAAAAGGGGTGTAAAGGAAACATGATTGCCTATTTATATAATTGATATATGTTTTTAAACGGTCCTGTAAGAGATATTTAATCTCGCAGTGTTAATCCCGATAGGACATTGGCCAGTCAGTAAAACTACCAAAATCGATATATCCGGCTGCGTGAGCCTAAGGAGATTTCTACACCGTTCCCGTCGTACCGTTGGCCATAATGACCTCGCAGTAGCGCAAGCGCGGGTTTTCCTTCAGCGTCCGCTGAGTTTATCCGATGCCCATCTGTCCAAAAGAAGTCCACAAGTAGTCAAGGGAGCTCCCTCTCTCTCTTTTTTTTTGCGAATTTACCTCAAGGGTGCCGCGTCTGTCCAATTCATCAGCCGCACAGTTTCCTGCGATATCACTACAGCCTGGCAACCATATACATAAGTCTAACTTGGTAATAATCCGGTGCGTACGAAAGCGAGTTAAGACATTGCTCAACAAACTTAGAGCATACTGTAAGTGAGCCCAAAGCTCTGAATGTCGCCTGACTGTCTGAGTAGATGTTAAACTTCCTTACCTCTAGAGTGCCCAACAGCAGCATGCTTCCTTAATATCAGGAACCACGGCCCGGAAAACACTCTGTTGTTTGGGCGCCTAAATTTAAGGTCAATGGAGAGCGCTCTGGAAAATACTCCTCCGCCGATCGTTCCGTCAATCTTCGACCCATCCCGTGGGATGTGCGTAGAGAAGGAGATAATTGATTCCAGGCTAGACGCTCTGTGTTCCGTGTTATCAGGAACCGAAGCTTCCGAAAATACTAGAGTGTCCAGACCCCGAAACAGTCAGGCAACCACTGCCCTTAAGTCTGACTGCCGTCCTTTCTGGAGCTGCTTTACCTGCGCCATCGACAAGTGCTTTCTTAATTATGATGTTAAAAGCCAGAGTGATAGTGGTCCTAAATACCCTACTGTTTCCAATGAGGGCAGTTAGTTTCACTCGCTCCAGACTACTGGTTAACGTAGTCTCCTTCAGTGCATTCCACCAGACGAGGATTCCATAAACTAAAGTGGACTAAGCATGGTTACATAGAGCCAAGAAATAGCCTTGAGAAAAAGGCATATTCTATAACATATTATCCCACTGCATCTATATAGAGCCAGTAAAGCCTTGCTTGCGCTCTCCTCGATATTAGGATTCCATGCCAGCTTCCTATCAAAAATAAAGTATTTCATCCTGTCAGACAGAGATAGGTGAATGTCCTCGAACTAGGTAGGTTTGGCGTGGGGCACATTATACCTGCCAGTGACCAATCCGTTTTATTAGGATTTATAGGAAGTCAGCAGTTTGCGGACCATCTTGTCACCAGGTTCAAGTATCCTTGAGTTAAGTCGTAGAGTGTATACAAGCAGTTTTCCTTCACTAAAAGTGCCACATCATTCTCATGAGCGATCACCGGCACCCCTACTGACCAATTCCTCTGGAAGGTGATTTACGACCACGTTAAGGCGAAAGGACACTACCTTGGGACGTACCCGTCTTAACTCTGAGTTTTAAGAAAAACCTAGGAGTAGATGTGAAAACTTTCCCGCTTTTCGTATTAACGTCAAACTGACCACTCTCCAAGTCCCGTGCGACGAAACCAGCGAATATTGGATACAGATAACGGCACTACACATCTAGAGACTTCTACAACTAGCCGTGTATAATGCCGTTAGGTCCCACGACTTGAAGCGCTTGAAATAGTTTATGGCCCAAGAAAGGCGACACTTATCCAGCAGGTCGCCGAAGGCAGTGTCGTTGCATCTAATAGCTCAGAAAAA